TCCTTACAGCATTTTCTTCATTCTACTTATAACATCCCCCCCTCCAAACTCATAGGGGGATGAAAAAAGGAAAAGTATGAGTCCAGAAAGAGGCACTGATATCCATCACAAGATTTCACAAAGCTAGAAGGGAAAGTCACACCACACCATTGACTAGTCCTGGGTGGGTCTAATATGAGATTTAAATATTGCTTGGAAACAAAGCCATAGAGACTCCCTCAGAACCTCTTTAGGAGTAGGGACAAAAACAAAAACAAAAAGAAATAAAGAAAATCAGTGGTTGGTATATGATTCTAGATAGTGTTAATTTAAAATACTTAAGTTGTCTAACCAGAGAAGGATTTATAGTTCTTTTACTTTAGTCTCAATATTTCATAGAAGAGAAAATCAAGATTTAAAAAAAATTGTTTAATTTTTCCAAACTATAGTTATTGAATGAACTTTATATGGTATATGACAGAGTTGTAGGATGCAAGAAGCATCATTTAAAAGCGATTTCTTAATATTAAGATGATTTCCAATAAACCAAACTGAGACTTTGGAGTTTACTATGACATGAGGTTGTGACTTGTTAGATCTAAATTTTTAAAAGTGAATTTCCATCTCTGTTATCAATTATCAGGCTTCCTGTATCTTTTAGATCTTTATGAGAGTTCTCTCAGAATTCTTAGGTTTCAGAGATGGACGCTGGTCAGTTTAAATGCAAATAAACAAAAATAAATATATACATAAATGAAGACATTATTAGAAAGATAAAATGTGGCCAAGGAACAAAAGAAGAGGCCAAAGAACAGGGATCAGGAAGTTTCTGGCCAGCAGAGTTGCAGTGATTTCTGTAGCAGAACCTGGTGGTGGGTCTGCTTAGGGTCCTGTGGAGGATGGAGCAACGCAAATCACTGCTGTAACAACTTAACATCCCAGGAAAGCCTCGGATAGCAGGACCGAAGGATCTGATGAATCTCGCTATGGCAATGTGACATTGTTTGGTGGATGGACAGGTCAAGAGTGAAGCCGTTTGATGGACAGACTGCTGAGATGAGATACATAGGTAAGTGGAACAAACAGTTGTTACAAAAATAGTGAAGGTATAAGCCCAGCTTTCAAAAGAGGGAGTATAGATTTAGGGCCAACAGTTATTTATGTGCCCTGAAATTTTTTCATTATCCTAAATAGGAAAGAGTGCCATGAGTACAAATTTTTACTTTTTTTTTTTTTTTATGGCACTCTAGATTTTTAAAATATTTTTTAAAAAAAATTTAAAAATTTTTAGGTTAGTCAAGCTAAAGTTATGTTGATTTTTTTTTTATTTAAGAGAAAAAAACAAAAAACAAATACAAAAAGCAAAAAAGACAAACAATAGCAAAACTAAAACAATAACTATATAGGATTTCAAAACAAGATGATAGGAATTTAACAATGATTGTTATATTGCGTATTGTTATCTTCAAAAGGGTTGCTTGCATTACCAAATATAGACTTGCAATATTGATCTAATCAGGTGAATAGAAACTGTTCTTTTCTGAGAACTAGTAGAATTAGTAGTGCAGTCATCTTAGCTATCTTTTGTCTCTCTCTCTCTCTTTCTCTCTCTCTCTCTCTCTCTCTCTCTCTATATATATATATATATATATATATATATACAAATTTATATCTTTTTCTTTTTTCCTTCTTTTTGCCTCCTTTCTGCTATGCCCATTGCTTTTTCCCTTTGAGTAGTTTCTTATCCTTTTGCAATATTTATTGTTGATTTTGGACCTTATTTGATTTCAGTTTCTTACCACTAGGGAGACAATATGTTATTTACACATGTGAGTTTGATTTATTTCACTTATGAGTGTGGTCTCAAGTCACGTCCCTTTATCTATAAAAAACATTGATGCAATCTTTCTTTATAGCTCAGTAGTACTTCATTGTATAAAAATACCATGTCTTTTTTGTCCATTTCTCATTTGAAGGGCATTTGGGTTGTTTTTAAAATTTGGCTATTACAAATTGTGCTGCTATAAACATGGGTAGACGTATATCACTGTGCTATGGTGTTTTCAGTTCTTCTGGGAAAATACCCAGAAGCAGGATAGCCGGGTCAAATGGACTCTCTAATCCTAGTGTTATAGAGAGCTGAGCTAGAAATACTATAGGTGGTCAGGTAGGGCTAGGATGCAGGCACAGAGGACCAAATGTCTTGTGACCTTGGAGGAGACCTTGTTGTGGTCCAGATATCAAGACAGAAGGTAAAACAAATGCAACCTAAGTATAAACATTAGGGATTAGGTATTGATTACCTTGAGAAGCCATGAGTCACCATCTCAGCTCCCTACAGGAAGAGTCACTGATCCTTGCTACATGATTCGCTTCCCCATTCCTTCCTATTTTTTTCTATTCTACCTGAACAATTAATCTGATTGTTTGATAATAGTTCTGTCTCTTGCCCATCTGCCTTGCAAGTTTTCCCCACCTTAGTCCCACCTCACCTCATGGTTTTACCCTGTAAAAATCCCGAGAAAAGACAGAATCTTTGGGACCCTTTCTGTCTTTCTCTCAGACAGAAGTTTTTGTTTTTTTTTCTCTCAGTAAACATTTCTGCTCTTAACCTCCATTGTTCCTAAAATTCATTCTTTGATTTTAGAGAACACAAACTCGTACAGGACATATAATAGGTCGGGAATTTCTTTCCCCTATATCACTAGCTTTTTGAGGGACCTCCATACTGATTTCTACCAGAGTTGCATCAACTTACACTCCCACCAATAGTGGAGAAGAGTTTCTTTACCCTCACATGCCCTCCAGAATTTGTTATTGGTTGATTTCTTGATTTTGGCCATTATTTCTGGAGTGAGATGGAATCTCAGTGCTGTTTTAATTTGTATTTCTTTAGTAACCAATGATGCTAAACATTTTTTACTATAGTTATCCACTATTTATATTTCTTTTTCTGAGCAGTGTATATTAATCTCAGGTGCCCATTTTTGGGTTGAGTCTTTAAATTTTGGGGGCGTAATATTGACATAGGGTAATGAGACTCCTAACCTACTATATGTCCGGGACAAGTCCGTGTTCTCTAAAATCAAAGAATGAATTTTAGAAACAATGGACGTTAAGAGTAGGAATATTTATTGAGAGAAATAAAGCTTCTGTCTGAGAGAGAGACAGAAGGAAGGGGTCCCGAGTAAGTTGCCAAAGATTCTGTCTTTTGGGGTAGTGATTTACCTTAGCAGCATAAGTGCCTGCCTGGCAAGTGCAAGGTTGCAAGTTTGATCCCTGTACTAAGGGGGAAAAGAGAGAGAGAGAGAGAGAGAGAGAGAGAGAGAGAGAGAGAGAGAGAGAAACAAAGATTCTGTCTTTTCTCGGGATTTTTATAGAGTAAAATCATGGGGTGAGGCAGGTCTAAATTGGGGAAAACTGGGAATTCCCAAGACATGAACATCTGTTCATGAGGTGGGATAGAGGTATGGTCAACCAATAAGTTTTATTGTCCAGGCAAAATTGACCAAATCAGGGACAAATGGGGAAGTGAATCAGTCATCAGATATCTGGTCCTCTATGCTGGCTTCTTCAAGGGCCTAGCCCTGTCTGACTGCCTATAATATTTCTAATTCAGTTGCCTGTAACAATATTTTTAAGTTCTTTATATGTTCTAAATAGAAGTCCTTTATCTGAGAGACAGTTGGCTAAAATATTTTCCCAATTCATGGGTGTTCTTTTCAATCTACTGGAGATTTCTTTTAACATTCAAAAACTTTTTAGTAAAATGAGATTCTATTTATTGATTCTGGCAAGTATTTCCCATGCAGTTTGGTGTTTGTTCATGAACTCTCTTCCAACCTCTATGTCATCAAGCAGATTTAGTATTTCTGCTTTAATATTTAGATCTTTGATCCCTTTATACTTTAGTGCATGGTGATAGGCATGGATCTAATTTTAGTTTTTTAGTTTTTGGCGTATGAAAAGTCATTTTTTCCAGCACCGTTTATTGAAGAGACTATCTTTCTTTCAGTTAACATGTTTTGCCACTTTGTCAAAGATAAAGTGGCTGAGTATGTTTGTAGTTGTGGCTATACCTTCTAATCTATTCCACTGATCCTCAAGTCTGTTTTTATTCCAGTACCATGCTGATTTTATCACAGTAGCTTTGTAGTATAATTTCAAGTTAGGGATTGTGATGCCTTCTGCCTTAACTTTCTTGCCCAGAATTATCTTTGCTTTTCTAGATCTTTCTTATTTGCAGATGAATTTTAGGAACCATTTCTTAGATCTGTGAAGTATGTTAATGGTATTTTGATTGGAATTGCATTAAATTTATACAACAATTTTTGGAGAATGACCATTTTCACAATGTTTGTTCTTCCTATCCATGAACAAGGAATATCTTTTCATTTTCTGAAATCTACTCTGATTTCCTTTTCCAGAATAATGTAATTTCTTTTTTTTTTTTATTTTAAAGGGGTAAAATTAAACACAACAAAATAGGACATAAGAAAACAATGTAAAAGATCTAAATTTCAAAGCTAGATGACCTGAGATCTTCAGCCTCTATCATATTGTCTCTTGTTTTCTTCCAAATAGTTGTCCATGTCTTCACATACAGAGAATTCATACAAAACAACATAGTATAAAACTGATCTGAACAGAATGAGGAAGGTGTTTTAGATCTTCAAAACCAGACAATAGGGAAGTCACTAATGGCTGTCATAGAGTCTCTCATTCTCTTCAAAATAGCTGTCCATACTTTCATGTATATTGAAGATCAATCAAACAAAATAGGCAGAGGGGGAGGGGTTGCTTGATTTCCCAGCACTTCAGGTCCCAGCATGGCACAGGTCCCAGTAAACGCTCCCATCCTGGGCTGCTGCAGCCTGCCATGCTCACAGCTGCTCACCAGGGGGCAAGGAGTTGCTTGGTTTCCTGGAGCTCCAGGTCTCAGCATGGGATGGGTCCCATCCTGGGCCAACACAGCCTGCCACTCTCACAGCCATTCATCAGGTGGGGGAGGGGTTGTTTCAAGCTGTTTCTTTCTAATGAATTGAACATTTCACTGCCCAAGTTCTGAAATGGCCAACAGACAGCAAGACATCTCTCTAGGCTCCTGCTCAAAACCAACAGTGTCAGGAACCTGCCAGCCTTGATTGAGGGCCAGATAATGTAATTTCAATGTTGAGATCTTTTATTTCCTAAGTATTTCATTTTTTTTGAATGCTATTGTGAAGAGTGTGGCTTCCTCATTACAGTGAATTTGTTGGTTGTGTACAGGAACATTTTTGAGTGTTGATTTTGTATCCAGCGACATTATTGAATTTGGTTATTACTCTTAGAAGTTTTTCAATGGAGTTTTGGGTCTCTTCTATGTAGAATAATATGTCATCTGCAAATAATGACACTTTAACTTTTTCCTTTCCTATCCTTATTCCTTTTATTTCTCTCTTTTGTCTAATTCCTCTGGCTATTGTTTCCAGAATTATATTGAATAGGAGTGGTGATAATGGACATCCTTGTCTTGTTCCTGATTTTAGAATGAAAGTCTTCAGTTTTTGTTCATTTAGTATGATGTTGGCTGTTGGTTTATCATATATGGCTTTATGGGATTAAAAATTGGTGGCCAACTTAATGGAAGCTCATTTAAATCAGTATGCTGCTGAATGTAGATAGCCCACCTGAGGAAAGTTGCCAGTATAAATAGAGACGTAGAGAAGAAGAGCTAGGCATTGTGGGTTCTCCTAAATGTGGCTGTTTGTCCTTCTGAGGAGCTTGTCATGACTAGCTTCCCCAATATGAGTTTGACTATTATCATCAGAGGAACTCAGGACCTTGTTGGTAAGAGTGGTTGTGGTTCACTTTTGGGGAGCTTTGGTTCTTATGTTGAGCATCACTTCCTGGCTCTGGAGGGAAGATGTATGCTGTTTAATCTCCAGGAAAAACTTGTCATGCTGGCTTTCTTGCATGTACTTGACTGTTCTTATCATCAGAGGAACTCAAGACCTCCTGTCTCCTGCAGATGGCTGTGGTAATTTTCAGGGCAGCCCTGGTCTTTATTTTACGAGTGACTTATCAGCTCCAGTGCAGAACTCTCAGTCTACCAGCACAGCTCCTTCACCCCACTGGCACACAGTTTCTAGCTTCCACTACTGACCTTTGGGCCTTCCCAGTACAGATCCATAAAACAGACTGGCATGAGTCCTTTTTGGAGGCTGTAGACATCCAGCTGGACTCATGGGAGGCACTGTCATGGGCTGTAGGTCTTCATCTGGACTCAAGCAGGATATTACTGTGGGATCGAGGCCCTTGGCTGAATATTCTGTCTTTAGTATTATGGACAGATTTCCTGTACTTTCTTGTGTTTCACTCTGGGTGACCATCATAAAATAATATTGTAAATTCTGTGTTCTGCTTGCAATTGTTCTCCTTACAACTCCTGACTACAACATATGACTTATATCAGGTTGAGATGAAGACCATGTATTCTGATTTTCCATAGGGTTTTTATCATGAATGAGTGTTGGATTTTGTCAAAAGCTTTTTCTGCATCTATTGAGATGATCATGCGATTCTTGTCTTTGGCTCTGTTGATATGGTATATTGAATTTATTGGTTTGCACATATTGAACCACTCCTGAATTCCTGGGATGAATTCCATCTGATCATGGTACATAATCTTTTTGATGATTTGTTGCATTCTATTTGCCAGTATTTTATTGAGGATTTTTGCATCTAGGCTCATTAGGGAGATTGGCCTATAGTTCTCTTTTGGTTTGGTCTTTCTCTAGTTTTGGTATTAGGGTAAAACTTGCTTCCAGGAATGAATTAGGGAGACTTATTTTCCTTTTGATTTCACTTAATAATTTGAGGAGTGATGGGATTAAGTCTTCCCTAAATTTTTTGTGAATTCAGCAGTAAATCCATCAGGAGCTGTGCTTTTCTTTGTTGGTAAGATTCTAATTATATTTTCAATTTTATTAACTGAAATTGGATTATTCAGTTTTACATCTTCTTGATCCAGCTTTAGTAATTCATATGTTTCTAGGAATCTTTCCATCTATGAGAGTAAAGATTCTCTGTGTTTCCATAGGGTCTGTAGTGATTGCACCCTTTTCATTTCTTTCTTGCATGGATTTGAGTTTTTTCTTTCCTCTTTTTGGGAAGGCTGAAGCCAGACCCTTTATCTGAACTACATGCTATCCCTTTATCTTGAAATTGCTTTTTTCCTATCTCAGCCTTCCTACTCATTGGAATTATAAGTACACACAATCATGCATGGCTTAAATTTTACTTTGTAAAATAACTGAAAAAATATTAGCTTGGTATGGTGCTGGTGCATACCTATGGTAACACCTACTTGGAAAACTGAGGGAGGAGGGTCAACTGATACCAGGAATTTGAGACCAAAGTGGGCAACATAGCAAGATTCTATTTAAAAAAAAAAAAAAAAAGAAAAGAAAAACAAATGAAAACCAAGAAACAGAGCTTAGGGCTGGGAATCTAGCTCAGTGACCTCAGGGAATCTGCCTGGCAAGCCTGAGATTGTGAGTTAAATCCCCAGTACCAGCAAAAACAAAACAAATCAAAACAAAACCAAAACATATAAGAAACAAGGCTTAATTGTTGGCACTAAGTTTTAGTTGATTTTTTTTACTTGCTTATTTATCTAATAATAGTTTTTCATAACCTATTCAAATCAACTAGGAAAACTGTCCCAGCTATAAGAAGGATTTTATTCAGTTTGGTCACAAGTTCATTCATTCAACAACTTGATTAACTCATTTATTCATTGCTTATTTGTAATAGTCCTTCTGAAAATATTGGATTCAATTTATGAGTCTGAATAGGTAGAAAAGAAGAGCTGAGATTTTCTTTTTGTTAAGTGTAAATTATATGACAGACTAAACCAGAAGCTCTTAAGCATTGCTCTAGGAAGGCCTGTGTCAGGGCAGGTAGGGAGAGTCTGGATAACAGTCTGTGTGCCACTGTGTCACGCTTGCTATTCCCTGTTTCTCACCTCACTGCTTCCATCTAGTTCAACAGAAGGGCTTCATTCTTATTTATTGTATTTCTATGCAAAATTTTCTTTTATGAAAAAGAAATTACTGAACTAAACTATATATTTTATCATATTAACTGTTAAGCCTTCCTATTAGATTTATTAAACAAATATCTTCATGGTCCCAACCCAAAAGAGTGGTGAGCATGCTACATTTAGACATAAAAACTTCATATTCTTAATTAAAAACAAGGATTTTGAACCATTTTGAAATAAGCAAATAGAAAATTCTCCGTGTGGATGATGATCTATATTATGTCCTTTGGGGGAATAAGAAAACACATAACATAAAGCTGACTTCTTAGCTTAACTTATTTGGTAAGAGAAAACAAACATAAAACATAATAAAGGTCAGTGGGAGAACTGACTTCAGTAGGCAGTACCCACTTACTGTGCCTGGATCACCTTGTCCTTGTCTAGAGGGAGCTAGAAGGGAAAGAGTTGACACATCATTGGTCAAGGCAGGAAGGGTGTTCTAAGGGATGGAATGTTCTGTTTAAAATTCCCAGAAAGATGGGGCTGCGGGTTTAGAGTAGTGACATAAGCACCTGCCTGCTAAGCGTGAGGCCATGAATTTGAGCCCATCTCAGAGTGTAAAGATAGAAAACAAACCAGAAAAAACTAGGAAGTCTTTTTATGTTTTGAATTATTTCTGCATCTTCAAATTACCTATGTGCTGGAGTATCTTTTGAAAAATTAAAAAAAAAAAGAATATTTGGAATACTTTCATTTTCTTTCTCCTTCTTAACATGATATGGCTAGGTCAGAAATTAAAAGCAGTCATATAGTTTTATTTTTGTACATGGAAGTTGAGAATTTTTATTTGTACTGCTATATCCATAAGAAACAACATAAGATTAATAAATATCAAAATTTCGTAGATAATTAGAGTTTTTATATGTACACATTTTACACTGAGTTTGGTCCCTGAGATGGCCTGCTCTGAGCAGTTGACTCTTTGGCTTTCCATTGTGTCTGTATTTGAAGGCTCTAGTTTTGTTCCTTCTCCATTTAGAACATTTTAAAATCCTTTTTGCAAGTGACATATCACCCAATGACTTGACTCAAATCAGAAGGAATTCAAGAAATAAGAAGAATCTTGACCTTTCTGCATTGATGTGATGGTGTTTTTCAGCATATTTTAATAGTCATGAGTAATGTTTTGGCAGGTAGGTGGACTCATCCTAAAAAACTTATTTTATTAATGATCAATAAAGGAAAAGGGAATTATTTTAGAAACATTCTTTATTTTGAAACAGAGATTCTTATATTTTGACAAAATGCTAGATTAAAAAGTATGAGAATTTTAAAAAGTATGTTCTAAGAAAAACAACAACGTATTTCCATTGAACCAAATTCTAAACATGTAGATTCCTTAAACGCATAAACGTTTTGACAACTCTTCAGTTGGTTAGTTTGAAGTAGTTTTTTTTTTAAATAGTTTAAAGATACAGGATTTAAAAAATATTTACCATGTAATTGTATCACTGTATTTTTTTAAGTATATAATATTATTTTATATGAAAGTATTTTATAGAAAGGCTTCCTTTTTAAAAATTGTGGTCAACTTTCTTTCTCTTGTACAACTCTTGTACTATCTTGTACAACTCTCATTCTCTTATTCTGAATATTTTGGGATTCTCCTGAGGAGCTTTTTTTTGATTTAGAGGTTTCTTCCGAGGAACATGACATCACGACTTGAAGAGATGATCTAAGTAAGGTCAGTCCAGTTTGCTTTGCTTCTGTTCTCAGGTAGAAATTGTGTCTCCCTTGGTTTGTGAGTTCAATGAACTTCACACTTGGTCTGAAGTGAGTCTGGGCAAAACCGGATTATGTTAATCAGTGTAATCATTGCTTTTCCTGGATAGCCAATAAGAATCACTGAAAGAGTTCACAACTGTTTATTCAGAGGTTTTTTCAGATGTCTCTTTAGCATTGCCATGATTCTAAAAGTTTTATTTACCATGAAATCAATTCTAATCTTATATAGTTTCTTATTTTGTGCAAGTTTTAGTTTTAAAAGAGCTTTTCTGAAAAAAAATTAAAAGCAAAACTTTTATATTATATTGTGACTGTATTGTAAGATTAAAAATATAAATATCCTG